TGTGCTACGCCCGTGCTTACCTTGCTCCCGCAGACCCGGTCCCTCTCGGGAGGGCAACAAGGGAAAGTGTTCAGTGCAGATCAGTGAGTAAGCACAAGCCCGCCCGTGCTTACATTGCTCCCAGAGACCCGGTCCCTCTCGGGAGGGCAGCAAGGGAAAGTGTTCAGTGCAGATCAGTGAGTAAGCACCAGCCCGCCCGTGCTTACCTTGCTCCCGGAGACCAGGTTCCTCTTGGGCTTCCCATCTTAGGGTTATGTAATTTGCTGTAATGTCTCACAGAACTCACAAACTGCCAAGGAAGTGGCTCATGGTTGTGGAAATCCATGGGTCAGGCGTCAGTCTGGAGGTTCTCCTCACTTACCTGGTTGCAGGGGCTGATGACCCCAAACTGGCAGGTCAGACAATAGGCTGCTGGCTCACAAGGCTGCAGAAGCTTGTGAATCAGGTCAGATCATAGACTGCTACTCAAGTTCCAAGAACCAGAGGTCACACGATGAAAAACTAGATGCAGGATTCAGAGCAAGAGAGAACTTTGTCAGAGCATTCATATATATTGGATGCAGCACATACCCTAAGAGAAACTAAGGGTAGTGACTTGAGTCATACTCTCTAGTAAGGCAATGATTCAAGATAGATCCCATTCTAACCGTGCCTTATTAACATAATGGAGCACTCACTCTAAAATGGGACCATAACCATAGGCTCAGAGGCTAGGATTTACAAAACATTACAAAGTGAAAGACTAGGCAAAAAGGGCCATATTAAAGAATTCGTTGCACTGCATCTCTGTTGAATTTCCTTATTTCCTTTCTCTCCATATTAGATTCATCTGCTCCACTTGCTTCTTGGCCCATCTATCATGTAAAAATCAAGTAAAGATCAACATCCTAGGCATTAGTGAGCTGAAATGGACTAGTTTTGGCCATTTTGAATCAGACAACCATATATGATCTACTGTGATGGGAATGACAAATTGGAAGAGGAATAGTGTGGCATTTATTGTCACAAAAAATGTTTCAAGGTCTATCATGAAATACAGTGCTGTCAGTGATAGGATAGTATCCATGCACCTACAAGGAAGACCAGTTAAACCTATTACTCATATTTACACACGAACTACCAAAGCCAAAGATGATGAAATCGAGGATTTGTACTAACTTCTGCAGTCTGAAATTGACTGAAGGTGTAATCAAGATGTGCTGATTATCACTGGTGACTAGAACGCAAAATTTGGAAACAAAGAAGACTCACCAGTAGTTGGAAAATTCAGCCTTGGTGATAGAAATAACACTGGAGATCGCATGATAGAATTTTGCAAGACCAACTACTTATTCATTGCATATACCTTTTTTTCAGCAACACAGATGGCAGGTATACACATGGACTTCTCCAGATGGAGTGGATAGGAATGAGATTTGATTACATATGTGGCAAGAGGCAATGGAAAATCTCAGTATCTTTGGTCAAGGCCAGGAGCTGACTGTAGAACAGACCATCAACTGCTCATATGCAAGTTCAACTTGAAGACAATTAAAAGAAGTTCACGAGAGCCAAAATCTGACCTTGAATATATCCCTCCTGAATTTAGAGACCATCTAAAGAGTAGAGTTGATGCACTGAATACCAAAGACCAAAAACCAGAGGAATTGTGGGATTTCATCAAGAACATCATCCATGAAGAAAGCAAAAGGTCATTAAAAAGGTAAGGAAGAAAAGACCAAAATGGATGTCAGAAGAGACTCTGAAACTTGCTCTTGAGCAGAGAGTAGCTAAACCAAATGGAAGAAATGACAGGCTAAAAGAGCTGAACAGAAGATTTCAAGGAACAGCTTGAAAATACAAATATTATTATAATGAATTATTATAATATCAATTATTATAATGAAATGTGCAAGGACCTAGAGTTAGAAAACCAAAAGGGAGCAACATGCTTGTCATTTCTCAAGCTGAAAGAACTGAAAAAAGTTAAGCCTCGAGTTGTAATATTGAAAGATTGTTTGGGCAAAATATTGACTGATACAGGAAACATAGAAGAAGATGGAAGGAATACACAGAGTCACTGTATCAAAAAGAATTGGTTGATGTTCATCCATTTCAGGAGGTGGCATATGATCAAAAACCAATGGTATTGAAGGAAGGTTAAGTTGCACTGAAGGAAGAAAGTGGTGAAAAACAAGGCTCCAACAAACAGATGCTGTGCTGGAGGTACTCACTCGGTGTGCAAGAGATTTGGAGGACAGCTACCTGCCCAGCTGACTGGAAGAGATCCGTGTTTGTCCCATTCCAAAGAAAGGTGATCCCACAGAATGTGGAAATTATCAAACTATATCATTAATGTTGCATGCAAGTAAAATCTTACTGAAGATAGTTCAAAAACAGTTACAATATAGTCACAGAGAACTTCCAGAAATGCAAGCTGGACTCAAAAGAAGTGTGGAATGAGGGATATCGTTGCTGATGTCAGATGGATCTTGGCTGAAAGCAAAGAATACCAGATAGATGTTTGCTTGTGTTTTATTGACTATGCAAAAGCATTTGATTGTGAGGATCATAACAAATTATGGATAACCTTGAGAAGAATGGGAATTCCAGAACACTTCATTGTAATCACAAGGATCCTGTACATAGACCAGGAGGCTGTTGTGCGAACAGAACAAGGGGATAGTGCGTGGTTTAAAATCAGGAAAGGAGTGTGTTAGGATTGTATCCTTTCACCATACTTATTCAATCTGTACACTGAGGAAATAATCCGAGAAACTGGACCATATGAAGAAGAAGGTGACATTAGGATTGGAGGAAGTCTCTTAACCTACAATATGCTGACGACACAACTTTGCTTGCTGAGAGTGAGGTTGACTTGAAACACTGATGAAGATTGAAGACTACAGTGTGCAGTATGGATTATACCTTAATATAAAGAATCCAAAAATCCTCGTAACTGGACCAATAAGCAGCATCATGATAAATGGAGAAAAGATTGAAGTTTTCAAAGACTTCATATTAATTGGTTCTATAATCAACACCAATCAAAGCATCAGTCCAGATATCAGACGACTTATAGCACTGAGCAAATCTGCTTCAGAACACTGCTTTCAAGTGCTGAAGAGCAAAGATGTTTCCTTGAGGACTAAGGTACACCTGACACTCAAAAACAAAGCAAAACAAAAAAACTCAATGCCGTCGAGTTGTAACTGACTCATAGCAACCCCTCTTTGGGTTTCTGAGGCAGTATCACTACGGAAGTAGATTGCCCAACCTTCTTTCCTAGGAGTGGCTGGTGGATTTGAACTGTCAGCCTTCTGGTTAGCAGTCATATGCCTTAGGTGCTATGCCACCAGAGCTCCTGGACACAAGTCATGGTATTTTCAATCGCCTCATATGCATGTGAGAGCTGTACAATGAATAAAGAAGACCGAAGAAGAGTCGATGCTTTTGAGTTGTGCTGGCGAAGAACACTGAAAGTACCATGTACTGCTAAAAGAACTAAAAAATCTGTCCTGGAAGAAGTGCAGCCAGAATGCTCCTTGGAAGCAAGAATGGGCAGACTTTGTCTGATCTACTTTGGTCATGTTGTAAGAAGAGACCATTCCCTGGAAAAGGCTATCATGCTTAGTAAAGATGATGGTCAATGAAAGAATAGAAGGCCCTTGATAAGATGGATTGACACAGTGGGTACAACGATGGGTTTAGGTATGGCAAGGATTGTGAGGTTGGTGCAGGACCAGGCAGTGTTTTGTTCTGCTGTCCATAGGGTCACTGTGAGTGGGAAGTGACTCAAAGGCACCTAACAACAACAACAACAAAAACAACAAAATATACCTTTCACTAAGTATTTTCTAAAAATGTGGAAGATCGAGGCACTTATGCCTGGTAAGCAAAATCAGACTGTGATGAATCTCAGCTTCATTATGTTTTTCAACCTTGAGCAAATTACTTAACTTCTTGGAAGCTTGGTCTTCTCATCTATAAAATGCGGATAATGATGGTTTACTCTGCAAATAATGGTTTGCTGAAGAGTAAAGATGTCTCCTTGAGGATTAAGGTGGGCCCTGACACAAGCCATGGTATTTTCACTCGCCTCACATGCATGTGAGAGCTAGACAATGAATAAGGAAGACCGAAGGAGAGTTGATGCTTTAGAGATGTGGTGCTGGCGAAGAATGCTGAAAGTACCGTGGACTGCTGAAACATCTAACAAATCTGTCCTGGAGGAAGTGCAGCCGGAATGCTCCTTGGAAGTGAGAATGGCCAGACTTCATCTTACATACTTTGATCATGTCAGAAGGGACCATTCCCTGGAGAAGGATGTCATGCTTGGTAAGGTGGAGGGTTGACAAAGGAGGGGAAGGCCCTCAACAAGGTGGATTGACATAGCAGTGGTGGCAATGGGCTCAAGTGTAGCAAGAATCGTGGGGCTGGCTCAGGACCTGGCGGTGTTTCGTTCTGCTGTGTATAGTGGTCGCTGCAAGTCGAAACGACTCGATGGTACTTAACAACAACAATGGTTTCCTTGGTCTATCATGAAGGTAAATGGCTGCCTCTGTGTGTGTGTGTAAATATATAGCTACACGTGTTATGTAACTTAGAATAATGTGTAATAAATTATGAACATTAAATAATTGCTTTTATTGCTATTGTCATTGTTATTATGATTAATAGTAGAAGACATTTTATTAGATAAATTTTACAAACATGTAAGAATAATGGGAATATAAAATAACAAAAATGTACCAATTGTTACCTGAAAGTAGTCATCCACTGGATTTCAAATTTCATTTTTTCCTCATTTATGGAGACAAAAATAAAGTATATTTAACGTAGTGTTTTTTCTTCTATAGTTTATCAGAGAAGATATGAAATATAAAGATGCTTCTAATAAGCACAGCCATCTGCACAAAGAAGATAAACATATAACTGTTGAGGATTTATGGAAACGATGGAAAACATCAGAAGGTAAGTCTCTTTTAGTGAAACGGAGCTCTCACCTTCTGCTTCCCGACCCCCTTAGCCATTAACTCACTAATTGTGTATGGTTTTACAAAAAAATTAAAAAATAACATTTCTGTGAAGATATTTATATTCTAGTGAATGTTTTTATTTTTTGTTTTTAAAGATTTTTTTTATCATTCTTAGGATTCATTAAGAGTCAGATAGTTCTTGTATAATTTAATACTTTATTCTAGAATAAGTAAGAATGTATGTCTGAGAGCTATAAATTGTAAAGCATTGTTCAGCTTTTAATGGCATCATTATAAAAGGTTATCAAATAAAAATGGATCCTGAAGTTTTCTTTTTAGTTATAGAGAACAGTTTGTAGCTTTTGTTGACAAAAATCCTTTATGAAGTCCTCTAATGGTTGCATGATGGAGTTCTGTACATTAAATTTTATTCCTTTTTTTATAACCTTCAACTCTCAAGCAATTTTACTAGCACTGTTTGGGAGCTCTGGTAGCATAGTGCCTAAGGCATTTGACTGCTAATCAGAACGCTGGCAGTTCAAACCCACCAGCCACTCCTCGGAAGGAAGATTGGGCAATCTACTTCTGTAGAGATACTGCCTTGGAAACACAAGGAGGGGTCGCTGTGAGTCGGATCCGACTTGAGGGCAGTAATTGTTTTTTTTTTTTTTTGGTGTTTACTCAGAGTAAAAAAAATGTACCACCTAAAAACTGCAACTAAGTTTCCAGTACTGTTCTAGAAAGCTACTACATTAAAAATAAAAAAAAAAAAAAAGAAGTCCATTAATTTTTTTTAAAGTAGGATTCCTTTTTTCTGATACTTCCATTCTTTCATGAATGTCCAGCACTCTTGTTATAGCATATATTTTTCAAGTTTGACTATAATGAAATGTAAATAAAAGGAAACTAGTACAGATTACCAAGTAGGAGTATAAAGAAATAGTAAATTTTATTAGGGTGTTAGTGGTAATATTTGGAAATGGAGAAAAATGTCCTGCCAGTGCCCAAATGTTTTCTTGATGTAGAAGGTTTATTGGTTATTTACATGTTAGTTTTTGGTTTGTAAAAGAAGCATCTGTTGAAATATACAGGGAAAAAGAAGAAAAGAAGAAAAAAAATTCACTGAAATAAATAGATAGACTTTAAAAATCCCTCTCTCCTTTTCCCGTCCCCACACCATTTTAAAATGGATAAATAGGAAAGTAATAAAGGAATATGAATTTCATGGGAGAAAATGATAAAATGGTGGGAAACTCAGTAGCACACCTTTTTTATGTTAAATATATCAGAAGTATATAGGTTTTACTAAAGGAATTAAGGATCCATATAGACTACTGTTACATTGATACTAATATTTTTTAGAATTTGGAAATGTGATAAACTGAATAGAGTCTACTTGGTTATGCTTGAATGGGGGACAAACGATCTGACCACTTCTCATCATCACATGTGGTTCTACCCTGGTTCAGCCACCATATCATCTCTGTTTTTTATAATTATGCTGAAATATATACAAGACAATTGCCGCTTCAACCCATCATCTCTTACCTGGATGATTGCAGTAACACCTAATTGGTTTCCCTTTGTATATCTATCTGTGATTTGATACAGTCTATTCTTTACCTAGCAGAGTAATCTTTTTAAAATATAAATGAGATCTGCTTTATAGATCTGTGTAATCTGTAATATAGATTGTAATAGGACACAGCTACTAGCTGAGGGCTAATATCCCTATAGTGTTGTTATTGTTAGGTGCTGTTGAGTTGGCTCCAACTCATAGTGACCCTGTGTACAATAGAATGAAACACTACCTGGGCCTGCGCTAGCCTCACAATCCCTGCTATACCTCAGCCCATCCTTGCAGCCACTGTGTAAATCCATCTTCTTGAAGAGCTCCTTGTTTTTCACGGACCCTCCACTTTACCAAGCATGATATCCTTCAACTGGGAATGGTCCCTTTTAAAAACATGACCAAACTAGGTGAGACACAGTCTCGCCATTCTCGCTTCCAAGGAGCATTCACTTCCAGCTGCACTTGTAAGGCACGTTTGTTCCTTCTAGTGGCCCATGGTATTTTCACTATTCTTCGCCAACACACAGCTCAAAAACATCAATTTTTCTTCGGTCTTCTTTATTCATTGTCCAGCTTTCACATGCATATGAGACAAATGAAAATATCCTGGCTGGGGTTGGGTGCACCTTAGTCTTCAAAGTGACATCTTTGCTCTTCAGCACTTTAAAGAGGTCTTTTGCAGCAGATTTGCCCAGTGGAATACTGTGTCTGACTTCTTGACTGTTGCTTCCATGGGTGTTGATTGTAGATCCAAGTAAAATGAAATCTTTGACAACATTAACCTTTTCTCCATCTATTGTGATGTTGCTTATTTCTCCAGTCATGAGGATTTTTGTTTTCTTTATGTAGAGTTGTAATTCATACTCAAGACTGTAGTCTTTAATCTTCTTCAGTAAGTGCTTCACGTCATCACTTTCAGCAAGCAAGGTTGTATCATTGGCATGTCACAGGTTGTTAATGATTCTTTCTCCAATCCTGATGCTGCGCTCTTCTTTATATAGTCCAGCTTCTTGGATTATTTGTTCCTCAAACTGATTGAATAAGTATGGTGAAAGGATACAGCTCTGACACACTGTGATCCTGATTTTAAACCATGCAGTATCCTCTTGTCTGTTCGAACACCAGCATCCTCGTCTGTGTACAGGTTCCTCATGAACACAATGAAGTGTTCTGGAATTTCCATTCTTCTCATTATTCATAATTTGCTATGATCCACACATTTGAATGCTTTTACATAGTGAATAAAACACAAGTAAACATTTTTCTGGTATTCTTTGCTTTCAGCCAAGATCTATCTGACATCAACAGTGATATTCCTCATTTCACATAGTCTTCTGAATCCAGCTTTCATTTCTGTAAGTTCTGTGTCAATATACTGCTTCAATCATTTTTGAATTATCTTTAGCAAGATTTTACGTGTGTGTGATATTAATGATACTGTTCGATAATAACCACATTCTGTGGGATTACCTTTCTTTGCATGGGTACAAACGTAGATGTCTTCCAGTCAGTTGGGTAGGTAACTGACAAGTAAGTGCCTCCAGCACAGCATCTGGTTGTTGAAACATCTCAATATGGATTATGTCAGTTCCTGGAGCCTTGTTTTTCGCCAGTTCCCTCAGTGCAGCTTTGAGTTCTTCCTTCAGTACCATTGATTCTTGATCATATGCCACCTCCTAAAATAGGTGAACATTGACCATTTCTTTTTTATACAGTGACTCTGTGTATACCTTCCATTTTCTTTTGATGCTTTGTGCGTCATTCAATATTTTGTCCATACAATATTTCAGTACTACAACTCAGAACTTGAATTTTTTTTTTTCAGTTTTTGCAGCTTGAAAAATGCTGAGCATGTTGTTTCCTTTTGGTTTTGTAACTCCAGGTCTTTGTACATTTCATTATTGTAATTGACATCTTCTTGAGCTGCTGTTTGTAATTTTCTGTTCAGCTCTTTAATCTTGTCAATTTTTCCATTTGCTTTAGCTACTCTTCATTCAATAGCAAGTTTCATAATCTCTTCTGAGATGCATTTTGGTCTTTTCTTCCTTTCCTGTCTTTTTAATGCCCTTTGGCTTTCTTCATGTATGATGCTCTTGATTTCATTCCACAATTCATATTTTTTGGTCATTTATGTTCAGTGCATCAAATCTGTTCTTCAGATGGTTTCTAAATTCAGGTGGGATATAATCAAGGTAATATTTTGTTTCTCGTGGAGTTTTAATTGTCTTCAACTTCAACTTCAGCTTGCTAAAGAGCAATTGATGGCCTGTTTCACAATGAGCTCGTGGCCTTGTTTTGGCTGAAGATATTGAGCTTCTTCATCACCTCTTTCCACAAATGTAGTTGATATGATTCCTGTATATCCCATCTGGTGAGGTCCAGTGTATTGCCACTGTTTATATTGTTGAAAAAAGATACTTGTAATGAACAAGTCATTGGTCTTGTAAAATTCAATCATGTGATATCCCGTGTCATTTCAATCACCAAGGCCATATTTTCCAACTACCAATGATTCTTCTTTGTTCCCAACACTTGCATTCCAGTCACCAGTAATAATCAATACACGTTGATTGCATGTTTGGTAAATTTCACAC